TTTATCGACAGGTGTAGTTTTTGAATGTCGCGTTGTCTGGTTTGATCTGTGTCGTCATTTTCTGTCGACTTGTACTTAGAATTAAATGGATGAAAGTTTCATATGTTTTTAAATATTTCTGATAGAAATGTTGTGTTACTAATAATTTGATGTAGACATTATGCAAAATTTATTAATTTCTGTAGCTTATAATCATGAAATATGAAAAACAAGATCATCAAGGAAAGGCGGCGTAAAGTGTGTACAGCCTGAACATAACCTAATACTAGATCAATTCTTTAAGCTAGTGGTTAGCTAAATTGGATTTAATAAAGAATGACAAACAATTATATTTGTTGATATAAACCGATTACTGGATAAGATCATTAGATTTATTACATAAATTAAGACAACTATATATTGTTTCATTCTCTATTTCATTTTTAGCTAGCTTGTGCCCTCTCCGGTTATTGTTCGGTGTCCTACTGTGGTCCGTGTCTGTGGTTCTTTGTTGTTAGATTCTAGTAGGGGATGTGTTTATTAAAAGCCGCCTGTCCAAGGTGGTCTCTGTTGTCATATTTTTCTATGAGGATCAACAAACCAATAACAGGGGCGATCAATATCAATAATACAAACAAACCCCATAAAAACACATTTGGTACTTTAAATGAACAATTGCGGAATAGTCAAGCTATTACAACTTTCACTAAAATCTAATAAACGATAATGTACATAAATACTTCATGCGGTAAGAAACTGTTTTAGCACCGGAACATTTTCGTGATTTATTGTATTTACTCTTACACATAAATGCACACCTCGTCTAGAAAGGGATGTCAGTTACAAAATTTAAAGCATGCACGAGAAAAGACGAACCTCATAAATATATTTCATGAATTATTAAAACAAGGGATAGAGGGGTCACTAAAATATGTATTGACATAATGTCCAATTGGAAACAGGGCGAAATAAAATGAAGTGAAATATTATATACACAGACCATTTCTGTTGTTGATACCTCATACCATTCTTACTTGAAACAAATAAAAGTCGCAGAACAGGATACTTTCAGGAATTTTCAATGAAATGCAAACTGCTTACAACATTTGATTTATTAAAAAATAATTATTTATAAAAAGAATAAAACACTATAAATCATATACATTGTAAATTATGTATATTGTTTACAACTCCAAATTTATTGGCAATGTGGAGTATAGTATTACCAAAACGTTAACAATTCGATTCCCTCTTTTTCACAAAATGATATTTTCTGTCAGGAATTGAGGTATTTGATACAGCGTATAATTTGACAAATAACAACAGAAACCGTCTAGAATAGCAATCATTTTAAGTGTAGAACACAACAAAGGCTTTCAACGAATTCCCGAATGATTTACTATTGATCTTGTATAATTCTTAACTGTGTTTATGGATGTCCTTGAAACATGATACGATTAATGTCCCTCCGAAATTATACAATACGAATGATATTATCAATAATTTCGGTTTTCGCTTTTATATTTTTTTTCAAGTGTAACAGTTTGATTATGAAATACAAAAAAAAAATATTTTTTATTCCATACAGCTTATTTGTTGGTCTTTTAAGTATTTAAACCGAAATTCTTCTGCTATCTTCTTGCAAGATAATCTAAAGGTATGTTCAAAGTTAGGTGCGATCATTTTTAAGTTTAGGTCATGAAAACTCTGCCGACAGGAACTGTTGTGTATTAGTAAATAAAGATTTTTGTAGCGGTAAATGTACACTAAAGAATTGTTTTGAAAATTTTAAAACTTTGGTTTATTATCAAAATTTTGTAGAATATTCATATATTAACTTTATGCGAGAAAGAAGCTTTATTCTTCTTTTGTTTTCACTTTGTATTTAGGAAATGAGCATTATTATTTTTTTCTATATACTTAATTTTGATTTAATATAACGCTCGTCAAGAGAAAATTTGAAGACAATAAAAGGTAGATCAATGCAAAAGAAGAAAGTAGGACATTGATCGATGTTATTAATATTCGTGTATATTCGAATTATCGTATATTTTCAATCCTCAGAGGAATTAAAGAAAGACTCCATAGCACTGAGGATAGATCAGCTGACAGCAGAATATCACAAGCTCCATAGTTTTCTTACGCACATCCAAACAAAATGCTCTCTTATTTTAGTTATGTTTTGAGAAGTGGGCGAACTTCTTTATTTTGTTCTTTTTTTAAGTTTTTTGAACTTTCTGGATTTCTTTTTCTTTGAGGTATTGGTAAAAATATTGTCCAAAAATTTAAACAATTTGCTTTCACTATAAAAAAGAATGAAATTGTATTTCGTCACATGACCGGACTAGATTCCCTGAATATTTTGGGACTTTATTCGTAATATCCTTTCTTCTAAAGGTATGACTGAATTTTATACTTTTTGATCGACGCAAAATGACGTGAAGATTAGATTTTGTTAAAGTCAAGATCATTTTAAATTTCAGATGGGCAAAATTGTTTTTGCTAATCAATATTTCGTAATTATTAATATTTGTGATATTTAATATGAAAACCATTTGTCGTTAGTTTTTAATTTGCATGTTGTTTTGTTGTTATGTAAGTTTTCCTGCCAATACTATACACACATACACAATAATAGACAAAAATAAATAAAGAGCAAATATAAAACAACTTGAAGTTACTTTACCGAAGAAATTATATTATATTTTACAATATTTTATATTCAAGAAAGTCGTTCGTTTTATGATGTAACACAAAAAAATTCCTCGTTAACATCTAACAATGTAATTAGAAGCAATGCTTTGCTTCCGTGCTAAAATATATTTAAATAGGTTTCAGTAATTCCAAAGTAATGATACTCATTTGGCCAAGTAATTTCCATGATAACTGCAAATAAATAATGCACGCAACTTGTATAACGAACGGACTATTGTATTTGCAACAATGTAATAAGCTTACAAAATGAGTTGCAACAATATCAATTGATTTTGTGATGCATGATGATTCGTTCTTTATACAGACATTTTGTTTTTAAATTATCTATTTTAGTTCACATTATTTTGAATGAATAAGGCCATAAAATTATTCATGTAGCAACATGTTTGTTAAAATGTGGAATTTGATATAAACTTTTCATTTGAAGCATAGTTTCTTCTGTCGTCAGCCGTTGTCGATATATTTTTTTAATAAAGCATTAAATAATTTTAATATCATTCCTTTTTCTTCTTTGAATAGTTACTAAATAGGATTATTTATAGACAGTTTTAAAAACGACACATTTTTTTAGTTATAAAGTTCAATTGTTAAAGAATTCAAAAATACAAATTCTTCAGTAAACATTATATAAAATATCATTGAATAGATACAGCTTAAAGAAAGTAATCATTGTTCGAAAACACGTTTTGCTTACACACATCATATTTCAGTGTATTAATTGTTTAAATGAGTGTAGGCAAACAGAACATATCCGAGAAACACCTGTCAAGCCATTGCATAAGAATCCTTGCTAATTTACACGCTCTATATATACAACATGCCTCCAAAGAAAAGCATTATAGTTTCATTTTAATTTGATACAAATGTCAAGCATTCTGTGGACAAAGTTAACGTGCTTATTTTCCTTTTCCTGGTTTCCATAGCCATTCAATGTGATGAAATTATCAGATAAATCTGCCATTCATATAGATAAAATAGTTTGAAATTTAACAAAGAATATAAACTTAAAAGTTAAAGATTGGTGGAACAATATTTAGTGTATGAGACATTAAATTTTTCAATTGAGCTTAACGAGTGATGAAATGTGTCCTTTATAACATTATAAAAATGTGAAATATCAGTCATTGTTAGTACGGTTATTGAAAAAAGAAATATGAATTTAATTTGTCATATGCATTTATTTAAGAACAAGTATCCCTTTTTTGATTAAAACCAGAGATAGCAGTGAAAACTGCTAATGTTTATGTACTTCTAGTAATTTGCATGACATCTGTCCAGGAAAGGTTTGAAGCTGGCTAGCCGACAGACAACTTCCGCTCTTTGCTTTTTTCAAGGGCCACATGTTTAAAGAAATAACGTATAAAATCAATCTGTTATCTCATCTCATCTTTTACCAGTTCTTTTAATTCTCCATTCAATCTTTATATTCTGTGTTTGATTCAAAGTCAAACACCTTAAATAACACAACTGCGCAACACCTATCTACAGACAAGCAAACAAACAAAAGCCACGTTGTTCATGAAATAACGTAATGCGATCTTCTGAGATCTTCCTTCACCAGTTCATTTAATTCTCCAAATAATCTTATTTTCCTTTGTTTGATTAAAATCAAGCCCCTGAAATAACACAATTGCGCAACGACTAACTACAAACAGGCAAACAGACAAATTACCAATTTCAAACAATCAACCTATTTTTATTGAAGACGTAAAGACTTTGTTGAGACATTTTATTATGAATAAAGTAATAATATTGTACACATATATACATTATATTGTGCTAATATTTAAAAATGTTTTTAAACTTGAAGAAAAATAGATTTAATTCTCAGAGCGTGCTAAATTTTTGCCATATTAGCTGAAATATAAAGGTGTTGTGATTGTGATAACGTTAAACATTTATAGATATAGAGGATCGCAAAAATGATTTTTCTTCTCATGTTGAATTTTATTAAACGTGTTGAGTTAAAGTGATGCTATACTAATTTCTTCGAAACGTTAAATAAATTCATACGATAATAGGCGTACATTGAAGTGTTTTTTTAACAAATGGTTAAACAAATGTCACATAAAATGAAGTGATGTTTGTTTGTTTGTTTGTTTCATTTTACGCCTTTTTCAACAGTTTTTCAGTCATATAGGCGGGTAGTTTCCTAACCATCGTTCCTGGAGAATTACACCAGTACTAGACTACCTTCCTCCGCGCTAAACTACCAAAGCATCTCCCGGGGATCGAACCCACGCCAGAGAGGTAACTGGATTAGAAGTCATCGACTCTAACCCCTCGACCACGGAGGCGGTATGAAGTGATGTATGTTGATAATAAAATGTACTGGTAACCCCGTATATGGACATTTTATACCTCACATGTATTAACACATTTTGAAGTGACACGCCTCCAGATGAGTATACTGAATACTATAAAAACCAATCTTAAAGAATCGTGTTATTTATTTCATTGTCTTAAAAGATTGACTGTTATAATGGTGATCGACCTAAAGTTGATACTGAAACATATTAAGGACAAATTATAATTATCCCTAAAATTTAAAAGAACTGCCCGAATAAATTCCAATAGATATTTACAGGAATTTCCTTTAGCCTCATGAGTTATTATATCGTTCATCTTGCAAAGTAAATTATGAAATTGAAATGAATTTTGTCAAAATGTAGGTTATAATGTTCACCTGTTCACTCATTATTAACTATGCCACTTTGAGGAATTTATAGTCAAAGCAAAAGAAATGTTAAAATATTCAAAATCAAAGTAAACTATAAAATATTTTATAATATCTGAAAATATTTGCTATAAGTATCACTAAAATTCCACCGAGAATATTCTGAATATTTATTTAAGTTATGCATAAGAAGCGTTTACAGTAAGTACCTAAGGCTATGCTATGTTATATCACTTAAAATTTACACTTGACACCATATTTCCTTATAAGAGCAATGTATAAATTTTCATCAAAAATCACAAAATCTGGAGGCGTGATGCTTTAATAAAACAAAATCATCGAGTTCGTTGACACACACTAATAAGCATCAACTCATTTGTTTGTATTAAGCATGGGCAAATGTTTATCGTGTAACACATTTATTTAGATGTGAATTGACAATGTCATATATTAAAACATATATAATAATTTATATAAAAAATCGTAAGCAGTATCACCAGATAAGTGTTTGTGTGTTGGGCTCATAGTTCTTCAAACTAGTTGTCTCTACGAATATTTTATCTTCTAATCCTGGAATAATTCGAACCATGTCTCCAACATTTTTCAGGCTATTTATAAGATAGAGTTTAATAGAGATAACAGCAGACGTTTCTTCTGCAACAAACGAGAGGCCAATCAAATAGAATGACCAGCCGTAACTATATTCAAAGTGAGTACAGTTATTAGAGTTTTGGAGTGACAGTTCGTCGTTTATCCGTGAAATGAACAGAATAACACTAACAGAGAGGCACAAACCTAAAAGAGAAAAACAAACATGTCAGTTAATTTTTTTTTCTTCAAATATTAAGTCGATTTCATAATACATTGTTTAATGCTAAAATTCGTGAGATGTAATAATTACAGTAATTTTTAACTTCTGCTTTCGGAAAATATCATGTTTTAAAATAAAGGTACTAAATTGTTCATAAATAAAAAATCCAAAATATTTTTAGATGATTATTTATCTTGACAAGAATTCTGATTTTACATCATTGATTTAAATTTTGGTTAGGTCTATAATTATAGGTAGATAGCTATTATACTGCATCAGTAAAGCAATAAAACAAAATATAAGGCTAAATAAGGGCATTTTGTTTATTGCAATTAAGTTTTAAATGGAATTTTTGTTCATGCATGTGAAATAAAAGGATTTATTAGGATACTTCATCTTTTAATGACACGTATAATTATCTGGAAAAAAAGTGATCCTTCTGAAGCATTGAAAATTTCAGACTTGGTTTGATTATGTACATGAGGAATAATGAAAGAGCGGAACATACCTCACATCCACTCGCACTGGCTTGAGCGGTACTTAATCAACACTTAATGTGCTTATATCAATGACCCCGAAGGACCAGAAAAAATATCAACATTAGCTCGGTTAACACAAAGTAAAGTAACGGAAGGTTTCGGCAATGCTTAGCATTCGGTAAATAGATTTTTTAAACAAACATGTTTAACTTACCGGAGGAAATATAAAGCACAGCAGCAACAATAGTCTTCTTATCACGTCTGTAATTTCCAAATATGCTAAAAATAAAACCAGCTAAGGTGAGCAAAACAGCTAAGCACGTCAAAGGAAATTGGATCCGCGTTGCCTCTGTAATTAAGAATGAATAATACATAATAAGATTTTCAAGCCTACCATACTAAAAAACAAAATAGCTCAAACTTAATTAATTCAGAGTAATGCATGTTACTAAAATGCAGTTTGTAATATGTCTTGTACTAAAGTTCTGAAATATACCATAACCGTATTACATTGTCTAATAATTTAGTGTAATCAAATATGGAATTAGTGGAATTAAAAGCAACATTTTTTTTTACCAGAAAATGGTATGAAATGAAACAATCAGAATGTAAATCAAGGACAAACAAATCTGAAAATCATCCAGGGTGAGTGAAAGGATATTTTAGAGCAGATGCTTTGTCTGACACGAAAAAGAAAAGCGTTTTTTGTCGACATATAAATAAGATAATGATAGTATCTATTGTCTGTTTCAAATTTACCTATTACAGTGCCCGTCCGCCATTGTTGATCTAGACGTTCTTTGTTTTTATCTAAGCCATATTTTAACCCAGTTTCTACACAATATAATTCGTCAGCTGAAATAATAAAAAATGTTGAATATTCAAAAGGGAACAAATATATGTAACAAATACGAGTATAGGACACAACAACGCGTTCTAACATTTAGACACATTGCTAAAACAAGAGGGCCATGATGGCCCTAGATCGCTCACCTGACCCATCAAACTCATCCGAATATTTATCTAGACAAGAATTCTGACCAAGTTTCATGACAAGTGAGTCATAAATGTGACCATTACAGTGTTATCAAAGATTATCCATATTTGAGCAGTGTGACCTAGTTTTTTAACCAGGTGACCAATATTCGAACTTGACCTAGAAATCATCAAAACAAACTTACAGACCAATTTCCAGGATATTTGGATCAAAACAGTAGCCACTAGAGTGTTTACAAGATTTTTCTATTTTTAGCTCCGGTGACCTTGTTTTTCATCCGAGATAACCCATGTTCGAACTCATTTGAGCAATGACCTAGGCAAGCATCCTGACCAAGTTTGATGATAATCAAGTCAAAAATGTGACCACTAGAAAGTTAACAAGGTTTTTCCATATTTGGGCAGTGTTACCTAGTTTTTGACCCCAGGTAACCCATGTTCGAACTTGACCTAGAAATCATCAAAACAAACCTGTAGACCAATTTAGAGGATATTTGGATTTAAACAGTTGTACTAGAGTGTTAACAAGATTTTTCTATTTTTAGCTCCGGTGACCTAGTTTTTCATCCGGGATGACCCATGTTCAAACTCATCTAAGCTATCACCTAGGCAAGCATCCGGACCAAGTTTGATGATGGTTGAGGCAAAAATGTGACCGCTAGAGTGTTAACAAAGTTTTTCTATCTTTAGCTCTGGTAACCTAGTTTTTTGTAGGGATCTAACATTCTAGCATAATTCTGAAATGAAATTACAACAGAACTTATAATGAAATCCAAGTGACATTGTGAAATCCTATAGCTTCATAATTTGTTGACTTCTACAAGAACAAGTTTCACTTACCTGATTGATCTGAAGGAACACTGTATTGACACTTATTGACTTTGCAATTTAGCTGATAGAAATGTTAAACTTACCTTAAAAACTGAAAACTGATTTTCTCCTTACATTTTCTGTGTAGCAGACGTCCAATGACAAACATCTTTGAAATCTGTCACTTCATATTTAACATTGAAAATTTCTTATTGTTAATATCAATTTCAGTCAAATTCAATTCAAGAACGTAATTTATGAAACGTTTATGATTGATTAAGGTCAGAAATCCTTATGTATTCACTTCATGTTTTTGTATATTAATGATTTTTGTATGTAGATTTCATATGAGATTTCAATATGGCCGCCATTGAAATCCAAGATTTCAGATTCAGAAATCCGGCCGTCTGTCCATTGGAGGATTTCTGGTGTTTCATTGGTGGATTTCAAACATCGAACCTTATAAAAGTCGGAATTCAACCAATGTTGTCACTTCGGTCTTGACCTCCAAGTAATGTAAATAAAGTTTTAAAACCGCCAAAGTTCAAATACAGTAAACATCTTACAAACGACATTGTTATCCAAACGTGTCAGTTGGTATGTATTTATATCCAGGATTATTAACTCACTAGACACTGTTGTTGCCAAAATACTTGTTATAAACTTAGAAAACTGTATAAGAATTGTATTTATTTTCCCCATCCTGACATACGTTCACATTTTCATCCGAGATGACCCATGTTCGAACTCATCGGAGCTATCACCTAGACAAGCATCCTGACCAAGTTTGATGATGATTGAGGCAAAAATGTGACCGATAGAGTGATAACAAGGTTTTTCTATTTTTAGCTCCGGTGACCTAGTTTTTCATCTGAGATGACCCATGTTCGAACTCATCCAAGTTATCAATTAGATAAGCATCCTGACCAAGTTTGATGACGATTGAGGCAAAAATGTGACCGATAGAGTGTTAAAAAGGTTTTTCTATTTTTAGTTCCGATGACCTTGTTTTTCATCCGAGATGACCCATGTTCAAACTCATCCGAGCTATCACAAAGACAAGCATCTTGAACAAGTTTGATGACGATTGTGGCAAAAAAGTGACCGATAGAGTGTTAACAAGGTTTTTCTATTTTTAGCTCCGGTGACCTAGTTTTTCATCAGAGATGACCCATGTTCGAACTCATCCAAGTTATCAATTAGATAAGCATCCTGACCAAGTTTGATGACGATTGAGGCAAAAATGTGACCGATAGAGTGTTAAAAAGGTTTTTCTATTTTTAGTTCCGATGACCTTGTTTTTCATCCGAGATGACCCATGTTCAAACTCATCCGAGCTATCACAAAGACAAGCATTCTGACCAAGTTTGATGATGATTGAGGCAATAATGTGAACGCTAGAGTGTTAACAAAGTTTTTCTATTTTTAGCTCCTGTGACCTAGTTTTTCATCCTAGATGACCCATGTTCGAACTCATTCGAGCTATCAACTAGACAAGCATCCTGGCAAAGTTTAATGATGATTGAGGCAAAAATGTGACCGCAAGAGTGTTAACGAACAAGTGTGGATGGACGACGGACGACGGACATTCAACGATCCTAAAAGCTCACCCTGAGCAAGCTCAGATGAGCTAAAAAGATGAGAGTTAAATTTAAAATTCATTGAAAATAATCAGTATTATAGCTACATAAATAAAAAAACGATATTCCGATTAAAGTTTTATAAAAATTATTAAAAACTTACAATATCCCGTGGTCTTAGTGCAAAGTCGCCAAAGGCCGGCGTTTGAGTGCATTGTCATATTTATCACATATGTCGTATTATTAAAAGGGATATGCTCAGTGCACATTTCTGTCATGTACAGCCAATTTGTTGTTGTGAACGATAAAAGAAGCCCAACTAAGGCCGCTGCTCCTGTTGATAAAGAAATGACTGTCCACTGTTGTAACTCTGTTCGCATATTGACAACCAACTATAACCATATCCATTCGAATATAAAACAAGGCACTGCATGGACTGGTAGTTGATCAATCACCAAATAAACAGATGTGTGTTAATTATCTGAAACAAAAGTAAACATTTGTAAACGTCAAATTGCACATGAAGTAACCAAAGCTTATGATTAAACATGAATTTGAATAGTGATTGCACCAACACCTGAATGATGATGAAAAAGAAGACTTAAAAATAAGTGTTCCAAATTTATTAGATATTTCCCTTGTATATAACAACGGCCTGCGTTATTTCACAACATCCACGCCGTACTTTTCCCTCTCTGTACAATATGAATAGATATTACGATACGCATCTTTAGGAAAAAATCAACAACTGGATAAGAGTTTTCAAGTTATTATAAAAGCATTTGCTACATACAGACATGGAGAATAATATCAAGAATGTGCCACCATGTGACATTAAGCCCAACAAAGGGTATATACTGAGTAAACAAAATAAGTAAACATTTTGCCATAATTCATTCCTTTCAATTTTTATAATTAACTTCGCCCTAACGATGCCTAAGGAAATTTCTGTTAATATCCATAGAAAATTACCTGTAACTTTCAATATATAAAAGAGTAGGCAGTATTTTGTATTTTTAAACAAGTTATAGATTTTATCCTGAACATTTCCCAAACTAAACTATTGTTCAAACACTATGTTTGAAATATATAGTCAATTCAGCATTATTTCACAAAAATAGCATAATGTCACTTTTAACTATAAGTATGTGGGAACAAAGTCATTTTAATAGAAATAAACTTGGTCGCCGTTTTGCTTTTGAATTATCTGCCATTGAATTTTAATTTATTCTTATTTCAAACTCGGATATTTTTCCAATGAGGATAAGCAAGCCTTATTTGTTTTGTTATTTATGATCCGGACTTACTGGCTATAATATTTTAATTTCATCTCTTAATATCGTCTCTTTTATTTGACTCTACAATGATAAGAAATTGCTGTGTTCCTCTTTTTTTATATGCCCGAAAGAATTTCGGGCATATTATGTTATACCCCCTGGCGTCCGTCCTTCCGTCTGTCTGTCTATTCGTCCGTCCGTCCGTAAGCAATTTGGTTTCCGGAGCATAACTTAAGTTCCATTTGACCCACAATGTTCAAACTTCATAGGATGATTGTCCATATTGGGTAAAAGACCCCTATTGATTTTGGGGTCACAAGGTCAAAGGTCAAGGTCACTATCACCTTAAAACTGAAAACAGTTTCCGGAGCATAACTTAACTTCCGTTTTGCCCACAGTGTTCAAACTTCATAGGATGATTGTCCATATTTGATAAAAGACCCCCTATTGACTTTGGGGTCACAAGGTCAAAGGTCAAGGTCAATATTACTTTAAAACTGAAAACAGTATCCGGAGCATAACTTGAGTTCCAGGTGGCCCACAATATTCAAACTTCATCGGATTATTGTCCATATTAAATAGAAGACCCCCATTGATTTTTTGGGTCAGATGGTCAAAGGTCAAGGTCACTATTACCTTAAAACTGAAAACAGTTTCTGCTCAATAACTTTAGTTCCATTTGGCCCTTGGTGTTCAAACTACACAGAGTGATTATCCATATTGTGTAAAAGGCCCCTATTGATTTTGGGGTCACAAGGTCAAAAGTCAAGGTCACTATTACTTTAAAACTGAAAACAGTTTCCGGAGCATAACTTAAGGTCTATTTTGCCCACAATATTCAAACTTCATGGGATGATTGTCCATATTGGATAAAAGACCCCTAGTGATTTTGGGGTCACAAGGTCAAAGGTCAAGGTCACTATTACTTTAAAAATTTAAAACAGTTTCCAGAGCCTAATTTAAGTTCCATGTGGCCCACAATATTCAAACTTCATAGGATGATTGTCCATATAGGGTAGAAGACCCCTATTTATTTTTGGGTCAGAAGGTCAAAGGTCAAGGTAACTATTACTTTAAAACTGAAAACAGTTTCCGGAGCATAACTTAAGTTCCGTGTGGTCCACAATATTCAAACTTCATAGGATGAGTGTCCATATAGGGTAGACTACCCCTATTGATTTTGGGGTCAGAAGATCAAAGGTCAAGGCCACTATTACTTTAAAGCTGAAAACAGTTTCCAGAACAAAACTTAATTTCTATTTGGCCCATCGTGTTCAAACTTGAAAATGATGATTGTCCATATTGGGTAGAACACCCCTATTGATTTTGGGGTCACAAGGTCAAAGTTCAAGGTCGCTTTCACCTCAAACTGAAAACAGTTTCCAGACAATAACTTTAGTTCCATTTGGCCCACAATATTCAAACTTTATAGGAGGATTGCTATTTGAACGAGGTAATACTTTATTTAAATCATGTAATGTCTTACAAATGCTTCATCCTTACTAAAAAAGCACGTTCGGGCATATAATGCTCCGCCTAGCGGTGAACTTGTTCAAACTATTGTCATACAAATTTTGTGTTTTTTTTTTTAATATTCATAGTAACTTTATTGATTTTTATGAACACGAGCTGAATACTATTTTCCAAAATTTATATTTGACCACAATTTTCTCCAGAAATTATGATGTTATTAGCTAGAAATTATTTGCGTGAAATGATATTAAAAACCGTCTGGAAAATATATACATAATAGTGTAATGGGAGTTTGGTACTTTTTCCCGGTAACGTTTAGAATTAAAGTGGTCTTAAACATTCCAGTCTTAATTTCCTTGTCTGTTACTATTATTTCCTTTTATGTATTATTAAAGTGATTATCCTGTCCGTGCTCTGCCTTATGCCCTGTCCTGTTTTTGTTTGGGTTTCAGCTGGTCCTTGTTGCGGGGTCGTGTGGGGTTGCGTTCATTGAACGCCGTCAATGAACGCGGTCTTTCCTTGTTGATTTTGTTTATCATATATTATATGTTGAAGTAAAAAAATAATAATACAAGCTATAGCTTGACATAACAATATAATTTGTAAAACGGGATTAATAACACATCCCTATGTCTCTCGGAAAGAAGACATCTTTAAAGAAAAGACGCACAGAGGTAACATGTACATTTAAGGACATTCTTTGATCAAATAACACAAACCTTTTAAAAATCCATCATGAATAGCTTTATACTGTCAGATGTATATTCATATTGCTTACTGTGGTAAGACATTTGCAAATCTCAAAATGATTTTCTCAAAAAAATACAAGAGCAGTCATTTATTATTTTATAAAGTCATTATAATTAATTTATTTCTTTAGTTAAATCTTTATGGTTTTATTTTCATTTTGAAAGGCTGACTGTGTTTACTTCAAATATCAAATTTCTTTAAAATATTTATAATTACTTCAAAGTAATTATATCTAAAAGATATTTGTTTAGTCCAGTGTAATATCGGAATATATTTCACGGGTGAGCACCAAAAGGTATATTATAAGAGTGGCGCAGCCATGAGTGTAATATGAATTTTTGGTGATTACAAGGCCTTATGATAACCGCCGTATGAACACATCTGCGAATGTTTCTAAATTCAAAACTTATACTGGTGGCGTGAACGGTAACTTGCACTTTCCAGTACCGTCCATAAACAGGCTCAATCAAACCGAGCATGTAACATTTCAATTTTGTCATTTTGGCGTTCTTTACGGATTCTGTTGTTCTCTAATTTATGCTCAAATTCTACTGTGATATATTCTTACTGAAATACATTTAAATGCGTAATTTATTTGTAATAGAGAAAGTTAGACTTGGAGATTAAATTTTCTTTTGTGATAAATAAAGGAACATTTGATGTATGAGATTCATTAGATATAATTTGTCGTACATAGACAAGATTTTAGAATAATCTAGAACATTAGATACTGTGATATATCATTTGTTACTGTATGGAGATCAACAATTACAGAAGAACAGATATACATAATTAACTTTTGTCACAATTTATGATGGAGCGAATGTACTTTGAATGTAAAATAAATAACCATGTCAAAGAAGCTTTTACAAATGGAAGTCAATTCTCATAATTTCAATACGAACACAATGCTTATCATATTACACCGCTCTTTCTTGACGTTCCTTGCAATACAAATTTGTGATATAAGAGCCTCACAAAGTTTGACCTTGAATAAAAAAGGACACTGCATCAGACCTGTTACAGTATTGAGCAGTAATGTGCACGTGAACAATTGTTTAAAGTTCGTTCTCGAGTGTTAAAGACGAGAATGAAAAGGTATGTTCTTATATTTATTTCATATGGCAATTGTTTGACCGCCTCGTAGTTCTTAAGAGCAAAACTCAAAGAAATGTTTTTTATCCATTCATATAAAATTGTGAATAATCTAACATCATTTAAAATTTGAGTAACATATTCCCTGACTATTTTGTAGAAAGATGTTTTAAAATGAAAACATAAATCCAAACAAACGAGTGATAGTTTATCTGGTAATTTGATACAATATAAAGAAACATGAAAAAGTGATAATGCAGTGGCATTTACATTAATCCTTTAGATAAAACTAGTTTCTAAAAAGAAAACAAAAACATTGTGGAAAAGAGATTTGGAGAATAAGACATTATAAAGAAGCAAAAGTAAGAATCAACTGTGATATTTTAAAGTCTTAAAAAGTCGGATTATTTTCTTTCTTCCCGACCTGTTCAGTGTAACTTCATAATATTTATAAATTTATGAATGTACTTTGAGGAAATGTTTTGATTAAATACTTAAGATGGTACCATGTACTAGGCTTTGTGTTAGCAAAATTATATAATACGGTACATTTTAAATGTTTTAGATTAAAAACTGAAAAGAAACAAAATTGAATTTGTACAGAATACATTAAAATTTTATGAATTTTAGTGAGAAAACAAGCATTTTAAACCCTTTCATTCCTTTCACTGCTGACAATGCGACCAAGACGTCTGTTCATTGGCTTCGCTTTTCGTACTTTTGAAATTAAAGTCAAACCGTATTTTGAGTTTTTATATGAAATGATGATTTCTTTTTTCAAAATTGAAAAATATCTAACGTTTTCGAGTTGAAATTATGATTGAATGACACACAATCGTAAATTCACGATCGTTTTAAAATTAAAAAAAGTCATTTCGCTACACTT